TTCTCATTTTATCTATTTACATGTCATCAAAAATATTTAAAAAATCCTCTTGTCACAATTTTGCAATTGTTTACATGCCAGGGTACTTATAATCAATACTTGTTTTTTAATAAAGAAATATGGATATAAAGTCAAAGATATGACTTAGATTATTATACCAAGTTGGCACAAAGTGAATAATATAAACATGTTTCTAATGACGACCACACTCGCTTGCTCACCCGCCCACTCACTCACTTACTCATGTCATACAGACCCTGAAACAAATATATCCAAAACAGCCCATGCAAGTCTATAATGTTTGGCAAGTCTAGATTACTGCAGTCTGAAAATGAAGAAAGTCACTGGGCTCCTTTTTATTTTTTTTTATAACTATAAATTGACAACTGTTTTTTCTGTAAAATATGTTCATTTCAGTGACTAGATCTTAGTCTAGTATTTCGCCTGTATTAATAAAGTATTAAGACATTATTCTGTATTCATCTACCAGACATGAAATGAACTTATATCTTTGGTAACATTTACGGTACACTGAGGTGAGGTGAAATTGGGTTTAACGTCGTGTCCAAGATTATTGCACTTATATAGCGACGTGCATGCACGTGTGTGTGTGTGTGTGTGTGTGTGTGTGGCTGCTTGTACTAGACCGGACTGATGCCAATTTATAGTGCTAGCCCACTGAGATACCATGCCACAGTTTAACATGAATACCCCACTCAGACCCAGTATACTGACTCCGAGCTAACCAGTCCTTGCTTTAACCCCTTAATGCCGAGCGCCAGACAGGGTAATAACAAGTACCATCTTTTAAAGTCTTTTGGTATGACGCGGCCGGGGATTGAACCCTGGATGTTCCGCTCTCCGGGCGGACGCTCTACCACTAGACCACGGAGACTGAGCCTTGGCCCAAAACAGAGGGTAAAACTGTTGGGCACCTGCCTTTTATCGGATAAATGACTACAGACACCTGATCATTTATTTACCTGTAGAGAAAATTGATTTCTTTTTCTCTTTTTGTCTTTGTATAAGTTTTAGGTCAAAACCCTGTTATCATATCTAGTCTCATTATTGAACTCACTCATGTTAGTCTCTCTCATGCACGGAAATTGTTGTTACTGTTAATCCTTCACCAACCATATATAGTTCTGTACCATGCTCGCACCAGTCTTGCTTGAAAAGGGGCGGTCGGGTAGCCTAGTGGTTAAAGCGTTCGCTCGTCACGCCGAAGACCAGGGTTCGATTCCCGACATGGGTACAATGTGTGAAGCCATTTCTGGTGTCCCCCGCCGTGATATTGCTGGAATATTGCTAAAAGCGGCGTAAAACCATACTCACTCACTCACTCACTTGCTTGAAAACGGTATAGGGATCTATACCAAGAAGCTGCTATGATAGGACATTAAAGACGTTGTTATCCATTGTGTCTACTTTAAATGATTGTCATGTGTAGTTCAAAAACAGGCCTAACACTAACACTGGGACCTGCTTCATAGGTTCTGCAGTCAAATTCAGTATGATTCTACAATTATTATAAATAATAATAAGTATATTCAAGTTTTATTTTGCACAAAACAATTTGACTCATACAAAGAAAATAGAAATGAAATGTTAATTTTATTCTCAGATAATAAATATCAAGTCATGAGCCATGTTTTATATATTATTTGTATTGGAGGGAATCAAAGCTAAGGTGTTATATGTCACATTTGCCAGGTAAATGTCAATAAAATTTTAGGGTCACCGCATCAAAGTAGAGTTGTCATGGAAACTGTTCCTATTTCATCCTATTTTAAAAATGATCCATGTTATCAAACACCTTTATTGTTGATATTGTCTCAGGATTCTACTAACTGTTGAATCAATGCGTTCCTTTTGTGTTAATGATAGATCAGAATAATGGCTAGATGGCCCAGTTGGTCTTGTGTTTACGTAGCATTAAAAACACAAGATTTGATTCCCAACAAATAGGACCATGGCTTTTTTTCTCCTGATGAGATATTGCAGGATTTCTAAAACCAGTGCAAAACCTCACTGACTTGGGTTGTATTCATCAGTCATTGCTGAAGATTGCTAAAAATTCTAGAAGATTTCTGTCGATTCCTGAAGATGTCTGAAACTGAGCATGAATGTACAGGGATGCCTGATTTTAAGAATTCAAATACCACAGCGCCTAACCTCAAAGACCTTTTTCTGATTTTAAAACCGTCTTAAAACAAATATTTGGATAAATATTCTTTCCATACAAACCCTTCCAATTAACACAAACAGTTGAAATGTGCCTGTATTTATTATGCCATTCAAACAGGCAGTTCATTAAGTCCCAACTCTGTGACTGGTAACATATGCTAACACGGGTTCTGTGACTTGTGAAATAGCATTTGGAAATATTCAGGTTTCTCTTTTAAAAACCACTCCTTTACTTGGGTGAACACAAATACTGCTTCGACACTGTTTTCCTGCAACTAATTATTGATGCTTTTAATCAGACATATCAGAAGGAAAACATTTTCTTAGAATCACACCCCATCTGGAACAAAACCACCCATAAACCAGAACACATATATAGAATAGCTGAGACGGGTCTGTATCAAATTTTAATCATAGTTTATCATGACAAAAGAGGCATTTGAAAGGAATAATGAATAATTGAGAGGAATATATCATCAAGTAGAAAAACAGGTTTGTCGAGGCAGTAATTACAGGGAACTGTTTGAAGGTAGAAAGTTGTCAGTCAAGCAGGACTGTAGTTGGGGTAATGATATGCTCGGCAATTGTTTTACTATAGTTGTCACTGTGCTCACTCATTCAAAACCTGTGACCAATTTAAGGGAGGATATCGTATTGTTTTCTTTTCATATTCACATCCTTGAGTTTAAGGGGCACTGAATTGGAATTAAATTAACAAGGATTATTTAAATTGATACAAAGCTTTATGTTAATGGTTTAATTAAGCACAATTTTAACAATATTTCAAGCAATTAAATTTTGTTTTTTGTTTTTTGAATTTCACTTTCTTGTAATGTGTTAAATTGACTCCTTATTTAAAAATAAAAATTACAATTACTCTTTAATTAAGAGCTGTCTTTGTAGATGTTAATTGAGTCAGAATCACTGAACAGGGTAATGGGTTTAAGCATCAAGAGTTTTTCTGTAGCAAGAAAATAGCCCTGTTAAAGTTTAAATTTGAAGTTATCGTTTCAAGAAATATAATTATATAAGGTCTTTGAATCATTTTGATTGTTTTTTCATCAGAAGATATTAGAGGCAGTGGTTAAAATAAAATTTTACTCTGATTTTACGAAATTAATTTTGATAAGACAAAATGAGTTTTGCAGAAAACCACATTATTTTGTCAAGTTGAGGAAAGATTGAAGTGATAGTGTTCATTTCTTGATGGAGGGAATGAGGAAGGGGTGGGGGATTTCTTCTCATTGCTACGTTCAAACAAGGGCATTGTTATTGCGTGTAATAATAGGTGATTTCAGCTTGATAATAATTATTATTCTTATTATTTCATAATTCCTGTAAGTATATGTATTATCATGACATGGTAATTCAGTTTTAATTCATGGATTCAATGTTTGGTTGATTGACAAACTGAAAAGTCCCATTTAACAAGCATGAGTACAAGTCTAAAAACATTGACACCTCCTAGTACAGTAAACTAAAATCATTGACAACTCCTTGTAAAGTAAACTAAAAACATTGACAACTCCTTGTACAGTAAACTAAAAACATTGACAACTCCTTGTACAGTAAACTAAAAACATTGACAGCTCCTAGTACAGTAAACTAAAAACATTGACAACTCCTTGTACAGTAAACTAAAATCATTGACAACTCCTTGTACAGTAAACTAAAATCATTGACAACTCCTAGTACAGTAAACTAAAATCATTGACAACTCCTAGTACAGTAAACTAAAAACATTGACAACTCCTAGTACAGTAAACTAAAATCATTGACAACTCCTAGTACAGTAAACTAAAATCATTGACAACTCCTTGTACAGTAAACTAAAAACATTGACAACTCCTTGTACAGTAAACTAAAATCATTGACAACTCCTTGTACAGTAAACTAAAATCATTGACAACTCCTTGTAAAGTAAACTAAAAACATTGACAACTCCTTGTACAGTAAACTAAAAACATTGACAACTCCTAGTACAGTAAACTAAAATCATTGACAACTCCTTGTAAAGTAAACTAAAAACATTGACAACTCCTTGTACAGTAAACTAAAAACATTGACAACTCCTTGTAAAGTAAACTAAAAACATTGACAACTCCTTGTACAGTAAACTAAAAACATTGACAACTCCTAGTACAGTAAACTAAAATCATTGACAACTCCTTGTAAAGTAAACTAAAATCATTGACATCTCCTAGTACAGTAAACTAAAAACATTGACAACTCCTAGTACAGTAAACTAGGGTTATAACGAACTGAAAGGGACCAAAATGTTTAGTTTGTTATAAACGTAGTTCATTATAAGCATATATAAAGCATATACACAGCAAATGGCTGGGACCAAAATAATAGTATGTTATATCTGTCAGTTTGTTATGAATGTAGTTTACTGTACGTGTGAGTGAGTGAGTGAGTATGGTTTCATGCCGCTGTTAGCAATGTTCCAGCAATATCACGACGGGGGACACCAGAAATAGGCTTCACACATCGTACCCATGTTGGGAATCGAACCAGGGTCTTCGGTGTGACGTGCGAACACTTTAACCACTAGGCTACCCAACCGCCCCATACTGTGCATGTATTGAGTATGGTTTGATACCCTTTTAGCAATGTTCCAGTCATGTTCCAACAATGTTCCAGCAATGTTCCAGCAATGTTCAGGCAATAATCCAGCAATATTCCAGCAATACCTCCCAGCTAGAGTGCCATAAATGTGCTTCACCCATGATTATGAATATATGGTGCATCCAGTGATATTAATGTAGTCATCATCATGAGTATCATCGTATGACAATCGTTGATTACAGGAGTGTGGTGAAGCGAGGAAAGAGCGTGGCATTCACTCAGGATGAGGAGAGAGTCATCTTGTCGGACAAGTCTGGCGATGTCTACAGCTTCTCAGTATCCCAGCCTGACAGCCAAGGGGAGCTAACTCATGGCCACCTTTCCATGGTGCTGGATATGGTGAGAGGCATTATCTTGATTCGATGCAAGTTCAATTCATCTCCAGTAACACGGCTGGAGACTTGTGTTATTCTGACATACATCTTGCAGGGATGTATCCCTGGGTCTTAGATGCTGGTATTTGGTCTTGGATCTACAGCAAATGTCAGGAAAATAATCTCAATTTGGAAATATATGTTTTCCAAGTGTAGTTATGATATTAAAAATGTGCATCTTTGTAATGATGACTTGATTTCACTGAATAGTACTACCGGTAATATAGAGAAAAAGGTTTTTATCCTTAGTTTATAATATTGTTTAAACAATGTTAAAATATCTCTGAATTGAAGATAATAAAGAATTTAAAAAATGCAAATTGCATAAAAAATTGTTTTTCACCAATTTGCCTGCTATGGTCATTTTGTAAAAATGTGGGACAAATCCCTGTTTTGAACTTTGTGAGAGTAAATTCATTCTTTGAGTGAGTGAGTGAGTCAGTGAGTGAGTATTGTTTTACGCCGCTTTTAGCAATATTCCAGTAATATCACGGCGGGGGACACCGGAAATGGGCTTCACACATGGTAGAGCGGAAGGTCCGGGGTTCGATCCTCGACCGCGTCATACCAAAAGACGTTAAAAGATGGTACTTGTTGTTACCCTGTCTGGCGCTCGGCATTATGGGGCTAAAACAAGAGGAATGGTCGGCTCGGAGTCAGTATACGGCGGGGTATTCATGTTAAACTGCGGCATGGTATCTCAGTGAGCTAGCACTATAAATCGGCATCAGTCCGGACTAGTACAAGCAGCCACACACACACATACACGTGCATGCACGTCGCTATATAAGTGCAATAATCTTGGATGCGACGTTAAACCCCATTTCACCCTCACCCTCACCCTCACCACCATCAGCTGTGTCATGGAGAGGAGCACACAGGCAGTGCTCCAGATGAACTGCAGGTTTACGTAAAATACACAACATAAGTGTCGCGCATACAAATATACATGTACTATTTACAATACCCAATTGTACAACACTGACTGACTGACTGAGTATGGTTTTACGCTGCTTTTAGCAATATTCCAGCAATATCACGGCGGGGGACACCAGAAATGGGCTTCACACATTGTATCCATGTCGGGAATCGAACCCGGGTCTTCGGCGTGACGAGCGAACGCTTTAACCACTAGGCTACCCGACCGCCCCCCAACACTGTGTAATTTCACAGTGAAAGTTTTATATGTTTTTCTTCTGATCCAGAGCAAGCATCACACCTACATGAACTCTATTCCAGTGAAAAAGTGTTGTGCATTTCTTATTGGGAATTAGTCATGTTTATCTGTTCTGAATTTATGCGACATTGTGATACAGTATTTGTGGCAATGGATTTTTGAAATAAAACATACCGTATTCGACGTAATAAGCACCCAGGGCGCTCTCAAAATTAGAAATAGGGAGCTCTTATTAGAATAGTATTTTGGTGGGGCAAAAAATTTTGGTTGAAAGATAAATTTCGTGGTTTATGCTGACAGCCTGAAATGTTTATATACGACAGATATATTTTTCCACTATTTAATAGCCCATAATTAAGGGTGCGTATAACACACGAGTGCATATTATACACGAATAAATAAGTCTAGTGTACATTGATCAATCGGAAGGGGTGCTAATTGGAATTGTTCACTAGCCAATATATTAACAAATATCGCCATAGGCGCTTATTACGTCAAATACGGTAATAGAGATTAATTGAGGTAGAGTACTTCAAGTTTGGGGGACAACAGTGAGTTGAAATTCCAAAGCCAACTCTGATGTCGTATCCTTTGTGATGTAATGAGTGCCGTGACATCACAATAGCGACCACGTGTGTGAAACTGAACCTGGCAAGGCTTGCTTCATTATAAGGATGCTACACACTTTCAATGCCTAAATGAGTAAATTTTATCATCCAAAACTGGCTCCGACAGGAGATATCGCTTGGGTGAGAGCAAGCGATATCTACACTGTAGATATCGCAGCAATGAAATTGCTTCACTATGCTTTGTAGACCATTGTGATGTCATTGGTCACCATGATGTCACAGCAAATGACATCACTAATGGCTCTGCTACTGGAGCTGTAAGCAGTACTTTTTACACCTAAGACACTGCTTATTACAGTCTACAAACTGAAAAAGTTGGAAGACAGATTTTTTATGATAAATATGATCTTACTCTCGTGTCTTTTGATATCAAATATATCAACACTCATTGATAAAAGTGGAAAAAAATCCTTGGCAAGCCTGTTGATATATTTGATACCAAAAGACACTCGGGTGAGATTCTCTATATAATGATATGAAACATCAATTTTTTAGATATACACTCCATACTTTATTTAATGGCTAGTATCGGTGTTTCTTTATTTCAGTTTGAAAACAAACTCAAAACACTGTACACATACAATGCCACTTCATTCAAACATACTGTGTTTTCAATTTAGAGCTGGGTTACATGTCGATTTAGCTTCATTAAATTAAACATTTGAAACCTCAGTGCTCAGCTCAATGTATCATGATTACATCTGTAGGTAACCTAGTTCTACATTGAAAACACAATACAGTAAACAATGTTAATAATGAACATGCTTATAAGTGCTGGGGACCTATTCTGGGGCCCCATGTAGAGTTGAGGGTAATTTTCATCATTAACAGTTCTTAGCGAATGCTGTGTGTTGTGTGAGGGTTTCACTGTACACAGATTAATTAATTAATAACAAAAATTGAATAATTCACTTATTTCTTTTTAACAAACTCATTATACAAATATAATTGATATACAATTATTTATTTACTTTGGGGAGATATATGATACAATATACAGACACTCACCCGAGTGTCTTTTGATATCAATTATATCAACACGAGTTGATAAAAGTGGGAAAACTCCGAGGCTTTTTTCCACTTTTATCAACAAGAGTTGATATATTTGATATCAAAAGACACGAGGGTGAGATTTTATTTATCATCCAACATCATTCTTCCAACTTTTTCAGTTTGTAGACAGTAATAAGCAGTGTCTTCAGTGTAAAAAGTACTGCTTACAGCTTCAGTAGCAGAACCATTAGTGATGTCATTTGATTGTGATGTCATGGTAACCAATGATGTCACAATGGTCTGCAAAACATTGTGATGCTCTCACCCAAGTGATATCTCCTGTGGGAGCCAGTTTTGGATGATAAATTTTAATTGTATAAAGCCATGAGGTAACTACTGTTTTTTCTTTTGAGAACTTAGAATTCCCAGTTCTTTCACTTCTTTCACTTTCCTCCCCCCCCCCCCCAACCAGGAATATGCTTCCTACCCAGCCAGGTGTGTGCGTGTGATCCGACAAGGTGATGCGCTACCTCCTTTGTTATCACTGTTGTAGTCGTTTGACAGGCTTCATTAACACTGGTAGATAAATAGTGGTTGTTTGATCATGTTCAACTGTGGGAGCTCATGTCATATCAATAATTCAACAGGCAAACACTGGATAGTTTTACAACTACATTTTCGTGTGGGTTTGAGCAAACAAATACTTCCCAAAATCAATTTCGGATCATGCCTCGTACATGTCTTCATACATTTTTATTCATGGCAATTTTTGTGTGATCTTGTATAAAATATTCTAAAATATTGTGTTGTTTTAAATCACTGTACGACACAATAAAAGCTTATTTTTTAGATGTGAATGTAGCCAGAAATATCAGGCAGTTAATCTTCTGTAAACAGAATGTTTATGCCCAGGGAGTCAACTCCACCATTGTTATGATGGGCTATGTGGTTTCATTGATCAAATGGTTTATGAACCTTGGATTGTAGCTATATTCTTAATGTCCATAAACACAAAATGTTACATTAATGTTGATCAGGGCTGTTCCTTATATGATATGATATAATATATTTCCGTATTATTTAGAGAGAGATGAAACATAAGTTTTATTAGTTTTATGTGCCAGTCGCACTCGGTATGGGTTAAACATCTGTTTATCCTGCCATTAATTGCCTATAATTTCTTGTTGAAATACAGTCTGTGAAACAGTAAGTACAATTCTGAATTAAATGAATACTTGGGAGTTAAGGATTAGTTTTAATCAGATGCTCAGGATGCAATAAGTCAGGTATAACTGTTTTTGTTACACTTCAGGGGGGGTCGGGGAGCCTAGTGGTTAAAGCGTTCGCTCATCACGCCGTATACCTGATTCAATTCCTGTCATGGGTACAATGTGTGAAGCCCATTTCTGGTGTCCCCCGCCTTGATATTGCTGGAATATTGATAAAGTGGCGTAAAACAATACTCTCTCATTCACTTTTTTTACGCTTCAGGCTTTCCTCCCACATCAAGCCGACACGCTGTAATGTAACTGAAATACTGTCGATAGCAGTCTGAAGCTGAACTCTATATAGTTTTTTTGAATATCAGTTTACCGATTCCACTCACCAAAGCCCAAAATCAGCTATAAAAATATTTGAAAAATTGTTCAAATTTACTTATTTGCCTGACTGTACCATCTTGCATAGATTAAAAAATATATTTCAAATGTCAAATTCCTTCGAAAACCTTACCTCTATTACATCATAGCTATATGTTTTTTGGCTGCTCTCACACTATAATTTTTTTTGGATTTTTCAACAATTGTCCTCTTCACTGTGTATCTAATGAGTAGTTGTATATAGATACAAGTAACATCTCTTTTTGAATGATATTTAATCAAATGCATTTTGCATATAAATCTCATAAACACCTAATAAAATGAGTGAATGAGTTTGGTTGAACACACCTTTGAATAGTATTTCAGTTTATAATAAGGCATGTCAGCTGGCCCTTCTTGATAAGGGCTGTCGGGTAGTCTAATGGTTAAAGCTTTCGCTCGTCACGCCAAAGACCCGGGTTCCCATTTCTGGTGTCTCCCGCCGTAATATTGCTGAAATATTGCTAAAAGTGGCATTAAACCATACTCACTCACTCCTTCCGGAAAATATATATGAATTAGCTCATCCACTGGACATGACTGATGTTCTGAAAAATAATGCGTTGGCTAAAAAAATAGATTGTGTGGCTTCCCTTTCTAGAAGAGCTGACTGAAAATATTTGTCACTTTCAGATCTGTTTCAGTCCAGATCAGGGATGGTGGGGTAGCCTAGTAGTTTGAGCGTTCGCTCATCATGCTGAAAACCTGGGGTCGATTCCCCACATGAGTACAATGTGTATCATGGTCGTGATATTGCTAGGGTATTGCTAAAAACGAGGTACAACCATACTCACACAGTCCAGATGAGTTCAGAATAGTCCGACATTCTGAATTCTGTATCATTACAGTGGAGGGACGGTCGAGTAGCCTAGCGGTTAAAGCGTTCGCTCGTCACGCCAAAGACCCGGGTTCCCATTTCTGGTGTCTCCCGCCGTGATATTGCTGGAATATTGCTAAAAGCAGCGTAAAACCAAACTCACTCACTCATTCACTCCCGTGGCTCATTCCCCATAACGAACACTGTTACAAACTGCGTGCATTGTATTTTCTGAATGAGTGAATGAGTTAAAATTTAACGTCACATCGGCAATATTTCAGCCATATTGTGACGAATTGTATTTTCTGACAAGGAGTCATGATAATCATTGCACTTGAGGTTTGGATCGATACACCAACTGTGCGATCTGATACGTATCAAGATACCTTACTCACAATCCGATACGTATCATGATACTTGCATGTGCTCTAATCTGTGGTGCGTAAGCTATCTTTTTCATAGACGGGATGGCCACATACCTACAGACAATGACTGAAAATAGTACTATTCTATGAATATTAGCTTCCGCGGTGATGCGGCCGTCAAACCAGCTGTTTCAATCAGAGGAGGTTTATTGTGATTTAATAGCCTCTGATTGACCAATCAGAATCGAGTAAATTCCAAATTCATGGTAGAATGATGATTTACAGTGTCAAGTTTGGCAGTGTCAAGTTTGGCGCGATGGATGAAAATATTTATGTTTTCACTATTAACTTGCACTACTGATTAGTGTTTAGTGGAACAGTTATTAAAGCAAACATTTAAGGTCAGAATCGATATTTTTTACAAGAAGTAAAAATCGCACTTAACCGATGCATTGGAAGTGCACGATGCAGTATGTTGCTACTTGCAGGTGCTGGCAAGGGATGACCAGTATGTGGTGACATGTGACCGTGATGAGAAGATCCGAGTCAGCAACTTCCCCAACTCCTACAACATCTACAGCTTCTGCCTGGGACACACTGAGTAAGTCTAGGACACACTGAGTAAGTCTAGGACACACAGAGTAAGTCTAGGAGACACCGAGTAAGTCTAGGACACACTGAGTAAGTCTAAGGCACACTGAGTAAGTCTAGGATACACTGAGTAAGTCTAGGATACACTGAGTATGTCTAGGACACACTGAGTAAGTCTAGGGCACAATCTGTAAATCTAGAACACACTGAGTAAGCCTAGGACACACTGAGTAAGTCTTGGACACACTGATCACGTCTAGGATACACTGAGTAAGTCTAGGACACACTGAGTAAGTCTAGAACACACCGAGTAAGTCTAGGACACACAGAGAAAGTCTTGAACACACCGAGTAAGTCTAGGACACACAGAGTAAGTCTAGGACACACAGAGTAATTCTAGGTCACACTGAGTAAGTCTAGGTCACACTGAAAAAGTCTAGGTTACAATGAGTATGTCTAGGACACACTGAGCAAGTCTAGGACACACTGAATAAGTCTAGGTCACACTGAGTAAGTCTAGGTCACACCGAGTAAGTCTAGGTCACACTGAGTAAGTCTAGGTCACACCGAGTAAGTCTAGGACACACAGAGTAAGTCTAGGACACACTGAGTAAGTCTAGGTCACACTGAGTAAGTCTAGGTCACACCGAGTAAGTCTAGGACACACAGAGTAAGTCTAGGTCACACTGAGTAAGTCTAGGTCACACTGAGTAAGTCTAGGTCACACCGAGTAAGTCTAGGTCACACTAAGTAAGTCTAGGTCACACTGAGTAAGTCTAGGTCACACAGAAAAAGTCTAGGTTACAATGAGTAAGTCTAGGTCACACTGAGTAAGTCTAGGTCACACTGAGTAAGTCTAGGTCACACCGAGTAAGTCTAGGTCACACTGAGTAAGTCTAGGTCACACCGAGTAAGTCTAGGACACACTGAGTAAGTCTAGGTCACACTGAGTAAGTCTAGGTCACACCGAGTAAGTCTAGGACACACAGAGTAAGTCTAGGTCACACTGAGTAAGTCTAGGTCACACTGAGTAAGTCTAGGTCACACTGAGTAAGTCTAGGTCACACTAAGTAAGTCTAGGTCACACTGAGTAAGTCTAGGTCACACAGAAAAAGTCTAGGTTACAATGAGTATGTCTAGGACACACTGAGTAAGTCTAGGTCACACTGAGTAAGTCTAGGTCACACCGAGTAAGTCTAGGTCACACTGAGTAAGTCTAGGTCACACCGAGTAAGTCTAGGACACACAGAGTAAGTCTAGGACACACTGAGTAAGTCTAGGTCACACTGAGTAAGTCTAGGTCACACCGAGTAAGTCTAGGACACACAGAGTAAGTCTAGGTCACACTGAGTAAGTCTAGGTCACACTGAGTAAGTCTAGGTCACACCGAGTAAGTCTAGGTCACACCGAGTAAGTCTAGGTCACACTAAGTCTAGGTCACACTGAGTAAGTCTAGGTCACACAGAACAAGTCTAGGTTACAATGAGTATGTCTAGGACACACAGAGTAAGTCTAGGTCACACTGAGTAGGTCACACTTAGTAAGTCTAGGACACACTGAGTAAGTCTAGGTCACACTGAGTAAGTCTAGGTCACACCGAGTAAGTCTAGGACACACAGAGTAAGTCTAGGTCACACTGAGTAAGTCTAGGTCACACTGAGTAAGTCTAGGTCACACCGAGTAATTCTAGGACACACAGAGTAAGTCTAGGACACACTGAGTAAATCTAGGTCACACTGAGTAAGTCTAGGTCACACCGAGTAAGTCTAGGACACACAGAGTAAGTCCAGGTCACACTGAGTAAGTCTAGAATACACTGAGTAAGTCTAGGTCACACTGAGTAAGTCTAGGTCACACTGAGTAAGTCTAGGGCACACTGAGTAAGTCTAGAATACACTGAGTAAGTCTAGGAGACACCGAGTAAGTCTAGGGCACACTGAGTAAGTCTAGGATACACTGTGTAAGTCTAGGGCACACTGAGTAAGTCTAGGATACACTGTGTAAGTCTAGGACACATTGAGTAAGTTAAGTACACACTAGTCAGTCTCAGTCACCTGAGTAAATCAGTCTCAGCCACTAGAGTAAGACAGTCTCAGTCACCTGAGTAAGTCAGTCTCAGCCACCTGAGTAAATCAGTCTCAGCCACTAGAGTAAGTCAGTCTCAGTCACCTGAGTAAATCAGTCTCAGCCACTAGAGTAAGTCTAACTCAGTCACCTGAGTAAGTCAGTGTCAGTCATCAGAGTAAATCAGTCTCAGCCACTAGAGTAAATCAGTCTCAGCCACTAGAGTAAGTCTAACTCAGTCACCTGAGTAAGTCAGTGTCAGTCATCAGAGTAAGTCAGTCCCCTTAGTCCTAAAGCAATGACTAACTTGATACTGCATGTGAGTGAACCAACTGGAGTGGCTGCCTGCTCCCACCCACTTTTGGGGCAGTGAGTCAAGATGTTTAAAGTTCAACAAGTGTGGCCCATATAAGCCCATATCAAGGGAAAAGTTCAACAATTGTTAAAATCAATATGACAATGTAAAACTGTTAAATGAGGAGTGAAATATGCCATGCCTGCAAGTGCAACTGGGAAAACGAGTCATCTATTGTGCGAGTCCGCTGCCACCTACTTAAAGTCCCAGCAGGTGTCCGGTACAACTACAGGGAAAAACCAAGGGAAAATTTCATCATTGTAAATTTAATTTTAATTTATATTTGAAACTAAATTTTGTTTGAACTTTATATGCTCAAAAATCTTATGTGATGCTTAAGCATGACCGTTAAAGACTTGGTGGGAGTCTTGGATCTTGTTTTAAAAAAGTATTTTATTATTAGTTATTCTGAATAAATCCCAACCTACCCTGCCCTATGCATAAGCCTAGCTTTTAACACACTTCAGCTTAGAATGTGAGCATGAAAATGAGGCACTCTCTTGGTAAGCAATGAGGAGGTAAGGGACTGACTGTTCGATATTTGGGAGGGGGCTAGAATTGTATTGAAAGAAAACAAATTGTCCTAGAAAATACTTGAGTGAGTGAGTATGGTTTTACGCCGCTTTTAGCAATATTCCAGCAATATCATGGCGGGGGACACCAGAAATGGGCTTCACACATTGTACCCATGTCGGGAATCAAACCCGGGTCTTCGGCGTGAGGAGCGAACGCTTTAACCACTAGGCTACCCGACCGCCATGAAAATACTTGAAAGCAATAATCATGCTTCAGACAATTGCAAGAAAATAGAGTGTCTGCCACAAGTAATACATTGTTGCAAGGTGTTTTAACGAAATAAATATTTGGGGTCACAGTTTTAATTAAAATAATATCAAATTTTGCAGCTATAGCTGAAAAAACATCTAGTGTCCATAAAAAATCCCAGGTTTCACCCAGAATATCAAATGGTCTGTCCCTGTGCCTGATGTTAATAATCTTGTTAAGAAAGAACTGAATATTGTCATTATATGGTGGATCAAAGAGATTAAGTGTTGCCTACAGATAATATTAGCTAACATTGTATGTCTGTGTCATAACAATCCTCTGAATGCCAATGGATACGAAATGCTTTTGTCATTTTTTTATTTATATTAATTCTGTTCTTACTTGTTTTTGTCTGTCTAAGGATTACAGGTGTATGGTGAGAATATGCACCTTTAACCAGTTTCAAAATGCCTATTACTTTGAAAGTCCCTCTCATATCATTTTAATCCAGAGGACCAAAAATCTTTTGAAATAGGATGCCATTCAAATAATCATGAATTTTGATGAAAGGTTAATCTCATTATCTGGTGAAGCCAACTGGGTGAAGCAAATAGCCTCACCTGATGGAGCTTGCACGATAATCTTACAATAATACCACATGATTTGTCATGATCAGAGGAGGTCTTGATCTGTCGATGTGGTTTGTAATTCTTGTTTTCATTGGATGGAATTGTTTCTTGTTATAGCTTCGTCACCTGCCTCAGTTACGTTGAAGAAGACGATGTTCTGCTGTCAGGGTCAGGGGTATGTTGTTTATTTTGCATTTACTTTGAATGTTGTCATTTTTTTCAATGTTTGTTTTAAAGATTGGCTGTTTTGATGTGATTTCTGTTACACAGTTGGCTGAGAAAATGTTTGCTTATTAGTTGGTCACCTGTGGTGATCACAGCTTGGGCAGAATAGTCCCTGTGTTGTAGATGGAGATATAGTTATATTGGGGATCAGGTCAAAATGGTGGAAGAGTCATGCTCAGCTAGGACTGAGGTGCGAACAGATTCTGTGACCCTGTCAGTCAGTGACTGACTCACCCTGCCACTCGGTGACTGTCTTACCCTGCCACTCAGTGACTGACTCCCTCTCCCACTCAGTGACTGACTCACCCTCCCTCTCAGTGACTGACTCACCCTCCCTCTCAGTGACTGACTCCCTCTACCACTCAGTGACTGACTCGCCCTGCCACTCAGTGACTCACTCACCCTGCCACTCAGTGACTGACTCCCTTTCCCTCTCAGTGACTCACTCACCCTGCCACTCAGTGACTCACTCACCCTGCTACTCAGTGACTGACTCACCCTGCCACTTAGTGACTGACTCACTCTCCATCTCAGTGACTGACTCACTGTCCATCTCAGTGACTCACTCACCCTCCCTCTCAGTGACTCACTCACCCTGCCACTTAGTGACTGACTCTCTCTCGCTCTCAGTGACTCACTCTCCCACTCAGTGACCGACTCACCCTGCCACTCACTCACTCACCAACTCACTCACTCTGCCGCTCAGTGACTGACTCACCCTGCCACTCAGTGACTGACTCTCCCTGCCACTCAGTGACTGACTCACCCTGCCCCTTAGTGACTGACTCACCCTGCCACTCAGTGACTGACTCACCCTGCCACTCAGTGACTGACTCTCCCTGCCACTCAGTGACTGACTCACTCTCCCACTCAGTGACTGACTCCCTCTCCCTCTCAGTGACTCACTCACTCTGCCACTCAGTGACTGACTCCCTTTCCCTGTCAGTGACTCACTCACCCTGCCACTTAGTGACTGACTCACTCTGCCCCTTAGTGACTGACTCATCCTGCCACTAAGTGACTGACTCACTCTCAATCTCAGTGACTGACTCACCCTGCCACTCAGTGACTGACTCACTCTGCCTTTTAGTGACTGACTCCCTCTCCCTCTCCCTCTCAGTGACTGACTCCCTCTCCCACTTAGTGAATGACTCACCCTGCCTTTTAGTGAATGACTCACCCTGCCACTCAGTAACTGACTCACCCTGCCACTCAGTGACTGACTTCCTCTCCCTCTCAGTGACTGACTCTCCTTGCCGCTCAGCGACTGACTCACCCTACCTTTAAGTGACTGACTCACTCTCCATCTCAGTGACTGACTCACCCTGCCTTTTAGTGAATGACTCACCCTGCCACTCAGTAACTGACTCACCCTGCCACTCAGTGACTGACTCCCTCTCCCTCTTAGTGACTCACTCTCCCTGCCACTCAGTGACTGACTCACTCTCCCTCTCAGTGACTGACTCCCTCTCCCTCTCAGTGACTCACTCACCCTGCAACTCAGTGACTGACTCACCCTGCCACTTAGTGACTAACTCTCCCTCCAGTGACTGACTCACTCTCCATCTCAGTGTCTGACTCACCCTGCCACTCAGTGACTCACTCACCCTGTCACTTAGTGACTGACTCACTCTCCATCTCAGTGACTGACTCACTCTCCATCTCAGTGACTGACTCACTCTCCATCTCAGTGACTCACTCACCCTGCCACTCAGTGACTCACTCAACCTGCCACTCAGTGACTGACTCACCCTGTCACTTAGTGACTGACTCACTCTCCATCTCAGTGACTGACTCACTCTCCATCTCAGTGACTGACTCACTCTCCATCTCAGTGACTCACTCACCCTGCCACTCAGTGACAGACTCACCCTGCCACTTAGTGACTGACTCTCTCTTGCTCTCAGTGACTCTCTCTCGCTCTCAGTGACTGACTCACCCTGCCACATAGTGACTGACTCACCCTGCCACTCAGTGACTCACTCACCCTGCCACTCAGTGACTCACTCTCCCTGCCACTCAGTGACTGACTGACTCTCCGAATCAGTGACTGACTCCCTCTCCCTCTTATTGACTGATTCACCCTGCCACTCAGTGACTCACTCACTCTGCCACTCAGTGACTGACTCACCCTGCCACTCAGTGACTGATTCACCTTGCCACTTGTGACTGACTCACCCTGCCTCTCAGTGACTCACTCACTCTGCCACTCAGTGACTGACTCACTGTGTTAGTTAGTGCTTGTTGTTACCCTTCCTGTAGCTCAACATCAAGGGGTCAGTATGCTGTGTCTGAATCGGGTATGTTACATCACCTCCCATGACCCAAACACCCACTGACTCGCCCTGCCACTCATCTACTGACTCGCCCTGCCACTCATCTACTGACTTGCCCTGCCACTCATGTACTGACTCGCCCTGCCACTTATCTACTGACTCCCACAACCCATGGCTTGTCACCCACTCTGAATGTCCACCCCACATCCCACAAACCACATCCCACAAACCACATCCCACAACCAATGACTTGTCACCCACACTCTGAATGTCCACCCCACATCCCACAAACCACATCACACAAACCAAGACTTGTCACCCACACTCTGAATGCCCACCCCACATCCCACAAACCACATCCCACAAACCACAACCCATGACTTGTCACCCACACTCTGAATGCCCACCCCACATCCCAGAAACCACATCACACAAACCAAGACTTGTCACCCACACTCTGAATGCCCACCCCACATCCCACAAACCACATCCCACAAACCACAACCCATGACTTGTCACCCACCCTCTGAATGTCCACCCCACATCCCACAAACCACTTCCCACAAACCAAGACTTGTCACCCACACTCTGAATCCCACCCCACATCCCACAACCCATGACTTGTCACCCACACTCTGAATGCCCACCCCATGTCACACAACCCATGACGTGTCACCCACACTCTGAATGTCCACCCCACATCCCACAAACCATGACGTGTCCCCACACTCTGAATGCCCACCCCACATCCCACAACCCATGACTTGTCACCCACACTCTGAATGCCCACCCCACATCCCACAACCCATGACTTGTCACCCACACTCTGAATGCCCACCCCACATCACACAACCCATGACGTGTCACCCACACTCTGAATGCCCACCCCACATCACACAACCCATGACTTGTCAACCACACTCTGAATGCCCACCCTACATCACACAACCCATGACGTGTCACCCACACTCTGAATGCCCACCCCACATCACACAACCCATGACTTGTCACCCACACTCTGAATGCCCACCCCACATCCCACAACCCAAGACTTGTCACCCACACTCTGAATGTCCACCCCTTGTCCCACAACCCATGACTTGTCACCCACACTCTGAATGCCCACCCCACATCCCACAAACCACAACCCATGACGTGTCACCCACACTCTGAATGTCCACCCCACATCCCACAAACCAAGACGTGTCACCCACACTCTGAATGTCCACCCCACATCCCACAAACCACATCCCACAAACCAAGACTTGTCACCCACACTCTGAATGTCCACCCCACATCCAAAAAATCACAAACCACAACCCTTGACTTGTCACCCACACTCTGAATGTCCACCCTACATCCCACAAACCACATCCCACAAACCAAGACTTGTCACCAACACTCTGAATGTCCACCCCACATCCCACAAACCACATCCCACAAACCACATCACACAAACCACATCCCACAAACCACATCACACAACCAAAGACTTGTCACCCACACTCTGAATGTCCATCCAACATCACACAACCCATGACTTGTCATCCACACTCTGAATGTCCACCCCACATCCCACAAACCAAGACTTGTCACCCACACTCTGAATGTCCACCCAACATCACACAACCCAAGACTTGTCACCCACACTCTGAATGTCAACCCCACATCCCACAAACCAAGACTTGTCACCCACACTCTGAATGCCCACCCCACATCCCACAAACCACATCCCACAAACCACATCCCACAACCAATGTCTTGTCACCAACACTCTGAATGTCCACCCCACATCCCACAAACCACATCCCACAAACCAAGACTTGTCACCCACACTCTGAATGTCCACCCCACATCCCACAAACCACATCACACAACCCATGACTTGTCACCCACACTCTGAATGTCCACCCAACATCACACAAACCACATCCCACAAACCAAGACTTGTCACCCACACTCTGAATGTCCACCCCACATCCCACAAACCACATCCCACAAACCAAGACTTGTCACCCACACTCTGAATGTCCACCCCACATCCCACAAACCACATCACACAACCCATGACTTGTCACCCACACTCTGAATGTCCACCCAACATCACACAACCCATGACTTGTCACCCACACTCTGAATGTCCACCCCACATCCCACAAACCAAGACTTGTCACCCACACTCTGAATGTCCACCCCACATCCCACAAACCACATCACACAACCCATGACTTGTCACCCACACTCTGAATGTCCACCCAACATCACACAACCCATGACTTGTCACCCACACTCTGAATGTCCACCCCACATCCCACAAACCACATCACACAACCCAAGACTTGTCACCCACACTCTGAATGTCCACCCAACATCACACAAACCCATGACTTGTCACCCACACTCTGAATGTCCACCCCACATCCCACAAACCACATCACACAAACCACATCACACAAACCACATCACACAACCCAAGACTTGTCACCCACACTCTGAATGTCCACCCCACATCCCACAAACCAAGACTTGTCACCCACTCTGAATGCCCACCCCACATCCCACAAACCACATCCCACAAACCACATCCCACAACCAATGACTTGTCACCCACACTCTGAATGTCCACCCCACATCCCACAAACCACATCCCACAAACCACATCCCACAACCAATG